TCTCCCATGTCCTTACCCCAACCCCCACACCCCAAGCCATGTTATCACATGGGCTGCTATCATAACCAACCCATTGTCAGCCACAAATGGTCTCTATTAGCAGCTATTGATTCTCCCAGGCTGACCATTACCCACTCCTTTGTCTATCCAATTGTTTTTCTCTCTCTATTGGCTCTATTGGCTCCATACTCGTCCACCTCCTCCCACCTCATCTTTGGCATATATACAAACCTTTTCCAAGCTACAATCAGCTCTGAAGAAGGGTGACTGGACATGAAATGTTAACTCTGTTTCTCTGCACAGATGCTGCCAGACCTGCTGAGTGATTCCGAAAAATTCTGTTTTTGTTCCATCATTGAAACACTCCCTCCCTCCACTACATGTGCCCAATGGCAGCTTTAGGATGCACTGTAGCAACTCAGCCAGGCTCTGATTCTAACATGCTCTCAGCCTCAACTGGGTGTACACGGGATCACCAACACCTCACTATCCTTACACAGAGCCATATCGCCCTGAGGCCTTTCTCTTTATTGTGTCATTGAGTCAAAACCCCGGAAGTCCCTTAGCAGATGGACTACAGCGGTTCAAGAAGGCAGCTCACCTCCACCTTCTTAAATGGACAACTAGAAAACGGGCAATAAATGCTGGGCCCAGCCAGTGACGTTCATGTTCCATAAGGAAACCAGGCAAGCTCACAGAAAGCATTGTTTGGAGCAGCATTGAGAACATAAAGCAAAAGAAGGGAGTGCAAAGGTTGAAAATGATAGTGAGGAGTTTTTGGCCTTCAATTTGGTTTTGAAAAGTTTATTTGTGTATCAACAGAGCAATGCCATAAGACAATACAGCAGTAAATGAGCTCAGCCCTGATGTTTAGTCTCTGATAATTGAGTGTTAGATATTCCTTTGTGTGGTATGAACAGCCCATGCTGTACAATGTATTGTAATATTTGACCAGCTGGATTTACATGGCATTCACCCAGCTTTTTGACAATTGTCAACAGAATGGAACTTTGATTGAACTACTCCAGTAATTATTATTTGGTGAGTAACTTACCACCAATTGTGTGACCGTATCATTTCTTTGTGACTGTGTGTGTGTATGTGTCTGTGTGTGTGGGAGAGTGTGTGTGTGCATTGAGGGGGGAGTGTGTGTGTGTGGGAGAGAGTGTGTGTGTGGGAGAGTGTGTATGTGTGTGTGTGGGAGAGAGTGTGTGTGAGAGGGAGTGTGTGTGTGTGTGTGGGAGAGAGAGTGTGTGTGTGTGTGGGAGAGAATGTGTCTGTGTGGGAGAGAGTGTGTGTGCGTGTGTGTGCGTGTGTGTGTGTGTGCGTGTGTGTGAGAGAATGTGTGTGTGTGTGTGAGAGAGTGTGTGTGTTTGTGTGGGAAAGAGTGTGTGTGTGTGAGTGTGTGTGTGGGAGAGAGTGTATGTGTGTGTGTGTGTGTGTGTATGTGTGTGTGTGTGGGAGAGTGTGTGTTTGTGTGTGTGTGGGAGGGAGAGAGTGTGTGTGAGAGAGAATGTGCGTGTGTGTGAGAGAATGTGTGTGTGTGAAGGAGAGAGTGTGTGTGTATGGGAGAATGTGTGTGGGAGAGTGTGTGTGTGTCTGTGTATCTGTGTGTGTGTGTCTGTGTGTGTGTCTGTGTGTGTATCTGTGTGTGTGTGTGTCTCTGTGTGCGTGTGTGAGGGAATGTGTGTGTGTGTGCGTGTGTATGGGAGAGAGTGTGTGTGTCTGTGTGTAGGAGAGAGTGTGCGTGTGTGTGTGTGAGAGAGACTGTGTGTGTGTGTGTCTGCGTGCATGTGTGCACTGTCTATTTAAGTCTGGGCAGAGGCAGAACCACATCAGACTGGAGGAGACAGACTGCAATGAGGTGAGGAGTGTGTGTGTGGGAGAGTGTGTGTGTGCATTGAGGGGGAATGTGTGTGTGTGGGAGAGAGTGGGGTTTATAATATTCTAACAATTATTGAGAGAAAAGATGGGTTGAGGCACATCAGCTTTGATTGAATGGAATGGTACAGTAGGTTCAAGGGGCGGAATGACCTTCTAAGCAAAACAGCTCCATCCTGTGGTATAAGAGAAACTTTGATAGAAAGTTAATGAGTTAACAGGAAAATACAAGTGTCAGATAATAGGGGGTTTAGACAAATCTTTGCAGTGATGTTGCAGAATTTAGTGTTTAATGACAGCTATTGATATGTGATTGGATGAACGTATGGGAAAGTGTTAATGTCAAATGCTGCTAATGACAGAAACGTTCTCATTTTGATAAAGTGAATTGTTAAAGCACTCTATTGTACAGGGAGTGAAAATGGATCAGTCACATGAAAAGCTGTGAACAGAAGGATCAAGGCTCTTTTCTCGGGTGCAGACTGGTTCCATGTGACAGTGCTTGAACCTTATATATTTGGTTCATGGATATATATGTGGGGCGAGAGTTTAGTTTCCATTCCAAGCTAATTTAGAAACTTCTTCTGTTTTAATCCTGAGGATGGGAATGATGGTGCTGTCAGCTGTTCTCTGCATCTCTCTGATGTTCATGGTTGGATACGCATAAGGTAAGAATCCCAGGAAACCTGGCATGCCTGGCTTTTGAACTCCTGTGCTACCCTTCATCTGTGTCTTTTGATCCGAGAGAACACTTTTATTTTCAACTAGAATTTACATGTGATTAAAGAGAGTCCAAGTCCACACTTTTAGAGGGAGTTTTATTCATTTCAGCCTACTCCAGAAAACTCTGACCCTACTGATTACTAGCTCCCAATATTTACACAAACAATTTTAACCCAAATAAATACATTTGTCAAATGTTCCATTTCAGACATCCCTGCAGATCTTACTATGATACAGGTCTCCTTTTATTGTAAGTCGATATACTCACAGAATAATAACTATGATTCAAACAAAACAAAAATCAAAATGACAACATATTAAATTCCTATTTATTTTTTCTTTGTACATTGGGGGTCCAAGCATCCTTTTCTGGTATCGCCAGCAGCTATGACAGCTTGTTCATTTGTTTGTAAAACAATCAGATAGCTGACTGCTGCTATCCATTCAGTTCAATTTGGAGAAGTCGTCATTCTCCACCATTTCATTCCAAACTGCAATATCAATTTCAGTCTTTATTCATTCACACATCTCCTGGAGTGTACGCGATCCCTCAGTGACTTATCAATGTAACACTGACTGGACAACACTGCTGAAGCCTTTAAAATTTCCTCCAATTCTGTCAGCAAGAAAGACCCCAGACCTACCACCTCACCAACAGCACAGGTTTCTCCCACTAAAGTGCCTTTCACTTCTTGTCTGATCTTTTTGGTTTCCCGGACTTAAGGGCAACATTTACCTCCCTCTCCCACAAGGAGAATGATAACCTACCCCACCCCCACACTCAAGAAGCCATCGGAATGTAAATAAAAAAGAACATCAGATACTGAATATCTGAAACAAAAACAGAAATTACTGAAAGAACTCAGCAGGTTTGACAGTGCCTGTGGAGAGAAAATCAGAGTTAAAGTTTCGAATCCAGTGACTCTTCATCCTCCCTAACCAGTTCTGAAGAAGAGTTTGAGTTCTGAGGAACCACAACCCAAGCTACAGATCTTCACCAAAAGTTTGATTGTCTTGATCCGTTTTACTAAGAGTCTCGCTCGCCCTTCTGGCAGATTATTCCACAGACAGTAGATGTGCATCCCCATTGCAATGCTGCACAACAAATGCACTCTGACACCTACATAATCATCACTGGGGCTGCAGCTTCCTATGATCGATCCAGTGGCCTTCTTCATCTGCATTTCCATCTTCTTTCTCATAGTCCTCCATTTCATCTTTGGTTTGGAATATTTTATTCTAGTGTTTGGAACAGGTCATACTGTCCCGGTATTTTCAGTCACAGCTGAAACATCGATCGACTATACCCTAAGCATTTTTGATGTTCTTTTTCTGATATTAAGTCCCAAATTCTCTTCACTTCTCAAAATGATCAAGAACATTTCCACCATGTATTGTAGCTGTACATGTTCATCTACAAATTTAATTCCCATTAAAACTAGAATCTGTCTATACTTGATACTTTGGCACAATCCAGTAACTTCACTGCCAATACTGATTGGGCAATTTCTGAAAGAAATCCAGGAGAAGTCTAGCAAACAATCTATAGGTTCCATCATGAAGCGACCCACAGCACTGTTCTCAGTCTTTCCAAATTCATCAAATTCTCACCACACTGATGTTAGACCCCACTGATTACCAGCTCCCCATATTGATACAACCAATTAAATCCTTATTAATATACCTCTTCCCTCATTCCCTCTGGCCTCAGGTGTCCCTCCTTCTCGGAAGTGTTCAGTGTTTTGCTCAATGTTGAGAGGATACCAATTTGACCCAGAAGCCTCTGTGGAACGAGAGTGACATCATGTGACCTGCATTGGGTTTAAATTCAGGAAGAGAGAGATGGGTTATTGTTCTGGACAGGAAGTGGAATAGTCAATTTCAGATGTTACAGAAACATGAGTGAGGGTTTTAGCAGCAGCTGAGCTCATGCAAGGACAGAACTGGGAGACGTTACAGAGACGGAAATAGTTTGCGCTAATGATTGAGAGGATGTCTGGTTGGAATCCCATCTCAGAATCAAATACTAAGACCTTGGATGTTCTGCCGCAGCATCCATCATTATCATAGAATCCCTACAGTTTGGAAACAGGCCCTTTGGCCCAACAAGTCCACACTGACGCTCAAAACATCCCACCCAGACCCATCCCCTCAGCTACACATCCCAAACACTATGGGCAATTTAGCATGGCCAATCCACCTAACCTGCACATCTTTGGACTGTGGGAGGAAACCGGAGCACCCAGAGGAAACCCACACAGACACCGGGAGAATGTGCAAACTGCACACAGACAGTTGTCCGAGAGTGGAATCAAGCCCGAGCCCCCGGCGCTGAGAGGCAGAAGTGCTAACGACTGAGCCACCATGCTGCCCTATCCTGGGAGATGGGTCAGTGCTTTCACTGAGATGACCCCACTCTGTGCTGCTCATGTGCTAAATCACAGCAAGTCCGATTGATCCATTACCCCCTGTATTCCCTGACCTGCATCCGCTCCCAACTAAGCCATGCTTCAATTTCAAATTTCCCATCAGTTTGTAAATCCCTTCACTGTCCCATCTCCTGCTTATCTCTGTAATCCCTCTGGCCCTCCAGGTGTGTGCACCTCTCTCATTCTGGCCCCTTGAACACCCCCGATTGGGATCAGACAGTCATTGGGTGCTGCACCATCAAAGCCCCAAGCTCTGTAACATCTTCTGAAAACCTCTCCACCCTCCCGCCTCCTCCTTTTAAGGTAATCTCTTTCACCCACCTCCTGACCCACCGTTTCAACATGCTCTGAATACAGGTCCATTGTTTGATAATCCTTCCAGGAATCCGCCTTTTACATTTTAAATTGTCAGCTTTATGCAAACATATAAAAACATGATAAGACTTGCATGAACTGAAGTTCTTGTTTTTATTTCTGTTCCTAATGAATTGCAATGAAGGATCTAAGGGAGGGGCAGCAGCAAAAGAATTTCAGAGTAAAACTACATCGATCACACCAAGTTGGATTCGGTCAGTTAGGCAGTGAGTTAAAAATATAAACTAAGTGCCAGATTGCGTTCTGAGAGAGAATAGTAATGTACAAAAGTTACACTCCGATTGCATGGGACCATGTGGCGAGCAAACCTAGACTATTGTGTGGGGCACAGGAAATCAAATGAACCAAAGATATGGAAGTACATGAGTGAGTGCAGAGGGTAATCCCAGAAATGTGTGGGTTTACACATCCGGAGAGGGTTGGCATCTGGGTCTTTTCATTTGTAAAATACGAGGGGGTGACCTATTGTCGAGCAACAGGAGCCTCCTAATTCATTCTCTGCACTTGCTGCTGGTTTCACATTGACAGGAATGGGCGTTCCGAACACGCTGTTATTTCTTCCCTAAAATCCTGCCCATTAATTTTCATAGTCTCCCTACAGTGTGGATACAGGCCCTTCGGCCCAACAAATCCACACTGACCCTCAGAGCTACCCACCCAGACCCATTCACCTATAACCCACCTAATCTACACACCCCTGAACACTACAGGCAATTTAGCATGGCCAATCCACCTAACCTGCACATCTTTGGACTGTGGGAGGAAACCGGAGCACCCGGACGAAACCCACACAGACACTGGGAGAATGTGCAAACTCCACACAGAAACTTGTCCAAGGGTGGAATTGAACCCGGGCCCCTGACGCTGTGAGGCAGCAGTGCTAACTACTGAGCCACCGTGCCCACCCATAATTTTCTCCAAACATTGAGCTCAAAACCGAACCCTGCATCTACAGATTACCTGGCAGCTCTGGGCTGGTCTCCCTAATTCGCATTTCTTGCCCTTTGTCCTATTCATGTTGAAAAGGTGCAAGTGGGATTCTGGAAACCCACACAGACACCGGGAGAATGTCCAAACTCCACACAGACAGTTGTCCGAGAGTGGAATCGAGCCCGGGCCCCTGGCGCTGAGAGGCAGAAGTGCTAACCACTGAGCAAGATGGAGGGCAGGAGAAAACTGTGGCCATACAAGCCGTTCCTTTTATGAGGTACTTTCAGTGTTCGACCTGATTTCCTCAAATTCTTGGAGCACTAATTATTGCTTCAAAGCCTGTTGCATTGTTTTGGAAGTTTGGGAAAAAAAATAAGCTACTTTGAAAACAGGAGGAACTGAGACAGCAGGTACCACGTGGAAGATGAAAAAAGGGACAGTGACCCTGCACAGCTGTCTGACTCTGCACTTTAGTCTCAAGTCTCTCTGGAGATCAGAGTTGTGTCTAAGAAAAATAAACAAACAGTGCAATTCACAACTCACTGTGGAAGCCCGTCTGGAGAACTGCTCACAGGGTGTGTTTTTCAAAAGACTAACCTGACTGTGATTTTTTTGTAAATTTCAAATAGTTTTGTTTATATGTAATTGCAATCTGTCTCTTGATTAAATGTTCATAAATTATCATTGAATCCCTACAGTGTGGAAACAGGCCATTCGGCCCAACAATTCCACACCACCCTAGTCTAAAGAGCATCCCACCCTGACTCATTTCCCTATCCCTGCATTTCTCAATGTCTAACCCACCTAAGCTAAACATCGCTGGACACTATGGGAAATTTAGCATGGCCAATCCACTCAGCCTGCACATCTTTGGACTGTGGGAGGAAACCAGAGCACCCGGAGGAAACCCACACAGACACGGGGAGAATGTGCAAACTCCAAAACATAGGTAGCAACCTGTGCTGGAGCAGTGTTTTTAGAGCAGTAACACGGTGCTATTTTCTCAATGTGTAGATTGTCAAGGTACAGAGATGGCCCTTAGTAGAGTGATGTTCTCTTCCTGTTGGAGGTGGGAGATTAGGGAGAGTTTTCATGTTACTGATGATTATGTCTGCAGGAAGTGTGTTTGGTTGCAAATCCTATCGGATTGCAGGTAGTGGTTAGAGCGGCATTTAGAGGCAATGAGGAACTTACAGGAGGTAGGAGCTGTGATGGATGGCAGTTGTAGGGAGGGAGACAAACCGAAGATACAGTTAGGTAGATGGGTGACCTCCAGGAAAGGTAGGAGAGGAAGGCAGGAAGTGCTGAGACTCCTGTGGCTATCACCATCTCAAACAAGTATGCTGTTTTGTAAAATGTACAAGTGATGGACTCTCGGGGGAGTGTAGCACTGACAGCAAGGTTTCTGGTACCGAGACTGGGTCTCATATAACGAGGGCTACACCAGATTCCAAGTGATTGATTGTGACAGGGGTCTCTCTAGATAGAGGCACAGGCAGACAATTCTACAGCCAACAGTGTTACATCAGAATGGTGAGTCGCACCCCTGCAGATGACACCAAAATTAGTGGCTTAAGGGTTAGTGAAGAAGGTTACCTCAGAGTACAATGGCTCCGTGATCAGATCGGTCAATGGGCCAAGGAGTGGCAAATTGTGTTTAATTTAGATAAATGTGAGGTGCTGCATTTTGCAAAGGGAGATCAGAGCAGGATTTAGTTCTGAGGAAGGGTCACTGGACCCGAAACATTAACGTGATTTTTTCATCATAGATGCTGCCAGATCTGCTGAACTTTTCCAGCAACTTCTGTTTTTGTTTGGGTCAGGAAATTATACACTTAATGCTGAGGTCCTGGGGTGTGTTGTTGAACATAGAGACCTTGAAGTGCAGGTTCCTAGTTCCTTGAAAGTGGAATTGCAGGTAGATAGGAGAGTGAAGCAGGCATTTGGTATGCTTCACTCAGAGTTAGGAAGAACTGCCGATGCTGGAGTCAGAGATGGCAGTGTGGAGCTGGTGAAACACAGCAGGAAATGAAAAAGGGTCCCGACCCGAAAAGTCAGGTTTCTTGCTCCTCTGATGCTGCCTGGCCTGCTGTGTTCCTCCAGCTCCACACTGTGTTATTTTGTAAGCTTGCCTTTATGGTCAGAGCATTGAGTGTAGGAGTTGGGAGGTAATGTTGCAGCTGTACAGGACATTGGTTAGACCACAAATGGAATACTGCGTACAATTCTACTCTCCCTGCCACAGGAAAGATTTTGTGAAACTTGAAAGGATTCAGAAAAATGTTGCCAGGGTTGGAGGGTTTGAGCTATAAGGAGATGCTGAATAGGCTGGGGCTGTTTCCCTGGAGCATTGGAGGCTGAAGAGTGACCTTATAGAAGTTTATCAAATCATCAGAGGCATGGATAGGGTAAACAGTCAAGGTCTTTTCCTGAGGGTAGGGGAGTCCAAAACTAAAGGGTATAGGTTTAAAGTGAGAGGGGAAAGGTTGAAAAGATACCCTAGGGGAAACTTTTTCATGCAGAGGGTGGTGTGTGTATGGAATGAGCTGCCAGGGGAAGTGGTGGATGCTGGTACAATTACAACATTTGGATGGATATATGAATAGGAAGGGTTTAGAGGGATATGGGTGAAATTTTGACAAATGGGCCTCGATTTATTGAGGATATGTTGTTGGCATGTACGAAGGGTCTGTTACCGTACTGTGCAACTCTAAGTCTCTGTGACTCGAAATGTTGCTGGTGGTTTTGCAGAGAATCTATCTGAGAGATGTCAACCGTCACAGTCTATGATTACCATGGCCATGCAGTGAATGCTGTCGATGGGAACCCTAACCCCAATTATTGGAAATCGTCCTGCACGGCTACACAGAATGATATGGAGCCCTGGTGGAGGGCAGATTTACACAAGATACACTCAGTCAGAGTCACCAACAGAGGGGACCGCTGTGCACAATGTCTCAATGGGGCAGAGATTCGGATTGGAGACTCTCTGGACAATAATGGCCACAGAAACCCCAAGTAGGTGGAGGAGAGGGAAATCTCGGGCTGGGGGTGTGGGAATGGGGGTGCTCAGTAATTGTGTGGAAATGGGACAAGGGGTCGGATGTGTGAGGAATGTAGGTTTTACATTGTGCGACTATTGTGGTGTCCAGGCCAACATTGAATTCCCAAGCAGAATCCCGAAAAGAGAGTAAATGTTCGTCGTCTCATTGCAAATTAATGGGATCTTCCTGTGTACAGTTTGACTGGTCCATTTGCCATTTTGCAGCAGTAACTGCATTTTAACTTTATTGGCTGTGAAGCCATTTGGGTTATAGTTGAGAGTTCGGTGTCACATTGTGGTAATGATGTTGTGGAAATGTCAGTGGAATAGAAATCCAGACAGCTACGCCAATGTTCTGGGGACATGGATTCGAATCCCACCCTGGACAGTGGTAACATCTGAATAACATAATAATCTGCTGGTATAACGTCAGCCATGAACTCCTGTTACAAAAACCCACTAATGTCCCTTAGGGAGGGAACCTGTTATCCTCATCCGGGTCTGGCCTACATGTGACTCCAGACTCACAGCAATGTGGGTGCTTCCAAACTGCCTTCTGAAATGGCCTGCAGAGCAAGTCCAAGGCAACAAATTCTCACCTTGCCTGGGACACCCAAATCCCACACAAGAGCTTAGAAACACAAACAGAAATTGCCGGAGAGACTCAACGGGTCTGGCACCGTCTGTGGAGTGAGTTACTGTTTCAGTTCCAATGTGATTCTCCTTCAGAATTTATAAACAACATTTGGTCATCACTTCTGTGAGGAGTTTGGGAGCTGCGACAATGGTAAAAGTACCATAAAAATGCTGAGTGTTGCTTGATGGAGACATTACTAAGAGCTGCACCCAGACACGTGGGGCCTGAACATTGATACTCCTTTCTACAGGGCTTGTCTATTCAGGTTTTCACAATCATCTCTTTCCCCAGATGTGCAACCATCAAATCCATTGCAGCTGGTGGCTCTGAAACTTTCCACTGCGGTGATATGCCTGGCCGTTACGTCAATATCTTCATCCCAGGAAGAAGAGAGTATCTGACTCTCTGCGAGGTGGAGATTTTCGGGAGCTCGGAATGTTAGTTTGACTTTTAGAGGAGGAGGTCGCCATTCAGTAAGTGCAATTGTCTCTCTCTCAGTTAGACCACTGGGAACCCTGCACTACACTTCTCCCCAGGGATCCTGAGGTTTATTCCAGACCACATTCCCAGATCTATTCACCATTCCCCACTCCTATCAGAGCTGAGGTGAGGGGTCAGGGGCCTGGTGTGGAACCTCTCGGGGACCCTCCAGCAAGCAGCAAGTGAGTGTTGCCAAGGTGGTGAGCCCAATTTCCCTGGAGTCACTGAAAATTCAGGGAGACACTAGTGGACATTTCTCTGTGATCCCCCACAGAGCTCCTGCTGCCCCAATGGTTATCGAAGGCGCCAAGGCATTTGTTATTCCCACACCATCAGTAACAACAGAGTCAGCCCAAGGTAGGCCAGTTGTTGTTGTAGTCCTGTTGAGAGCTGAGGGCCCAGTCCCCATTCCCCTCACAGCCTGTGCTCATTCTCATGTTGGGGCTCCTCATCAAGAAACGACATTCTATTCAAAAGCCATCATTGTTAGCAAATCCCCACTCATCCTCATGCTTCCCGATCACTGTAATCTCCACAATCCCCACAACCCTTTTCGATACGTGGCCACATTGCCCAATGGGGATTTTAACACACGCTCACTGCTGGCCATGCCTTCAGGAGCCTGTGCTCCAAGTTCTGGAATTCCCTTCCAACACCTATCCATTTGGAGTTGAATGTTTGCACCCTCAAGCCTATCCTTCCCAGGCCCCAATTCCTGGATATTTCGAAGTATGGGCCCCTCCTTTTAAAACTCACTGTTTTGGTGATCCAGCCTCCACAACTGTCTGGGCTAGAGTATTCCCAACATTCATGACCCTCTGGGAGAAGAAATTCCTTCGCATCTCCATTTGAAGTGAGTGTCCCCTCAGGAGTGGTCAATGTCAAGAGAAGGGGATTGTTGGGATTGTGGAATCCATTCTTAGTTATTCCTGACTAGTCATCTTGTAACATTTCCCTGAGCAAAGGAGTCAATATACTCCAAACGCAACCCCTGACATCTGTGTCTGATCTCAGAACCCTCTCCCAAAGCACAGATACCGATGGGATGGTCAGTCGGAAATAACAGAAAACTTTTCTTCAGTGTTCATTGGGGAGAACTCAGTGTTTCATTCTGTTCCATTTCTGAGGGTTATGGGCCGCAGAGATGAAACCATCAGAATGATGCACTGGGGCCTCTGAGCTCAGCTCTGGACTTCCAGAAACGAGGAACTACAGGAGTCAGCCTCCACAAGATTTACACCAGCTCTGACTTTGTGTATCTGCATGAAATAAAACAAATCAATTCAACACTGGCTGTTTGTCCTTCAACAAATATGATCCTGTGCAGAATATCACACTGGAATGATCATGGAAAGGGAAAGCAGCAGAACTGATTTTGAACAAACTATCCATTCTCTTCCACTTGTCCCAAGAGTGGGTGTTTGGGACACAGACTGCCCGCTTCCTGAACTCAGCTTCCAGTTATTGATGACATTTCTGTCAAACACTGGAGCTTCCGTCATGAGCGAATGGCCAGCCTCATGGAGCGCACCGTCCAACAACAACTGGAGGCAATGTAAATGCAGCTCAGTGTTCTTTGCACAGCACATGAGCTGTGGATAGTGAGGAGGATTTCCAGAGGATACACTGGGATGTAGATAGGCCGGAGCATTGGGCGGAGAAATGGCAGATGGATTTTAATCCAGACAAATGCGAGGTGATGCATTTTAGAAGAACTACTGCAGGAAGGAAGTATATAGTAAATGGCGAAACCCTCAGAATCATTCACATACAGAGGGATTTGGACCTTCAGGTCCACAGTTTCCAGAAAACGGCTACTCAAGTGAATACGGTGGTCAAGAAGTCATTCAACAGGCTTAATTCCAATGGTCACTCCATCGACCAGAAGGATATGGAGGCTTTGGAGATGGTACAGGAACGGATAATGCCGGATTTAGAGGGTGTTAGCTCTAAGGACAGATCAAACTGGGTTTTGTTTTCACTTGAATGTCAAAGGATGAGAGGTGTGACCTGTACAAAGTTTACAAAATAATGAGAGGCATGGATACAATGGATTGTTGGAGTCTTTTCCCCAGGTAGAATGGTCAATTACTAAGGGATTTCAGTTTAAGGTCAAAGGGGGAAAGATTAATGGAGGTGTGAGAGGTCATTCTTTTTCCCACAGAGGGTGGTTAGTGCCTGGAATATGCTGCTGGAGGAGATAGTGGAGACAGCTACAATAACAAGTTTAAGAGGGCTCTTGAGAGATGTACGAATAGGCAGAGAATACAGGGACACGGACCACATGGAAGCAAAAGGGTTTTAGTTTAGAACTTGCATGCTAGCTTTTTGTGATTCGTGGATGAGGACTCCCTAATACCTCTGTTCTGTAGCTTTCTGCAGTCTGTCTCCATTTAAATAATTTTCAGCTCCTCTGTTCTTGCTGCCAAAATGCATAACCACACATTGTCCCACATTATATTCCATCTGCCAAGGGTTTGATCGACTTGTCTGACCTGCCTATATCCCTCTGCAGACTCTTTCTTTGTCATTTGCAAACTTGGCTACAGTACACTCACTTTTCTCATCCGAGTCAATAAGATAGTGTTCCGATAATTGTGTCCCAGCACTGACACCTTGAGGCACTCCGCTAGTTACAAGTTGCTAACCTTAAAACGCTATATGGATCCCAACTCTGTTTTCTATGATTTCCTCATGCAAATATAGTTGCCCTTAACACCATGAGGTCTTCTCTTATTCATTAGCCTTCTTTGTGGTACCTTTTGAAAATTCAAATATCTTTCATCAGTTGCTTCCCCTTTATCTATCCTACTTGTTACCACCTCAAAGAATTTGAGTAAATTTACTGGGCATGATTTCCTCTTCATGAAACCATGCTGACTCTACCTGAACATATTATGTGTTTCTAAATGCTGTCATTACATCCTTTATAATAGACACGATCATTCTGCCAAACTAACTGGCCGAGAGTTAGCTTTTTTTCCTCTCCTTTCCTTTTTAAATAAATGTGTTACTGTTGTGGCTCCTATGATGCTGCTTAGCCTGCTGTGTTCATCCAGCTCTGCACCGTGTTACTGTTGTGTGTTAGTGTAAGTATCCTGGACTGTCACGTTAAGAGTCATAGAGTCAGACAGCATAGAAACAGACCCTTCGGCCCACAATGTCTAGGCCGACCGACAACTACCAAACTACACTTGTCCCATTAACCTACACTTGGTCCACAGCCTATGGTGCCCTGGCATGCTTAGTGCTCGTCCAGATACTGTTTAAATGTTGTGAGAGTACGGGCTTCCAGCATGCCTCAGGCAACACGTTTCTTATTTCTATCACCCTCTGGATGGAAAAAAATTCTCAGATCCCTTGTAAACCACATACTCCTCACCTTTAACCTATGCCCTCTGGTCTTAGACATGTCTGTCATGGGGAAGAGATTCTCATGATCTGCCCTATCCATGTCCCTCATGATTATGTCCATCTCAATCAGATGCCACCCCTCAGCCTCCTCTGCTGCAGGGAAGACAAACTCAGCCTATTCAGTCTGTCATCAGAACCCCACATGAAGCATTCAATGAAGATGGAAAACTGGTTAAGTTTTGTGGTTGTATAATAATTTTGTGCTGATTAAGGAAATGGGATCAGCGGATCCTATTTGAAGTCTGACTGGCTGTATTGGGTCATGTAAAAGAGGGAAATTGATGATGATATGAACTTTGGACGAGTTGCTCCCTCAGAGTGAACAGCTCCAGAGTAAAGCTCCTGCTCTTTAATAGCCATCCATTGGTTTATTTCTCAGGACAACGCCCTGATAGGAAGGGTTTACAGGGATGCGGGCCAAGTGCTAGCAAATGAGACAAGATTAGATTCGGGTATCTGGTCGGTGCAGAGGAGTTGTCAGTTTACATGTGGTATGTCTTTATGAGTAATCAGAGAAAACCCGACTGCTTCAAAATTTAAACATACTCTGACAGTTAACTGTCAATCATCATAAATTGTGCACTCGCTGCAGCAACACCACTTCCAAACAAACTAACTGCTGATCAGCACTTTCCTTTCATGCAGAATAAAACTGGGTTTTCCCGTGAATTGACTTTCTTGCCAATTCTCCTGATGAGTAAAAGACAAAAAAACTTCACCGAATTGTGTTTAATTTCATCAGGTTTGGCATTTCAACAACAGCCGCACAAACAAGAGGATTGTTGAATTCCCTCACTACCGAGTGCTGTCCCCGTGCTGTCCCTGTCCTGGGAGTGTTCGATGGGGGACAGTGTTGAGGGAGCTTTACTCTGTATCTAACCTTGTGCTGTCCCTGTCCTGGGAGTGTTCGATGGGGGACAGTGTTGAGGGAGCTTTACTCTGCATCTAACCTTGTGCTGTCCCTGTCCTGGGAGTGTTCGATGGGGGACACTGTTGAGGGAGCTTTACTCTGTATCTAACCTTGTGCTGTCCTTGTCCTGGGAGTGTTTGATGGGGGACAGTGTTGAGGGAGCTTTACTCTGTATCTAACCTTGTGCTGACCCTGTCCTGGGAGTGTTTGATGGGGGACAGTGTTGAGGGAGCTTTA